TTATAAATATATATATATTATAATTATAAATATATATATAATAATAATTATTATTATATATTATAATTATAAATATATATATTTATAATAATATCTACAGTAAAATGTATTTTCTCCGTGCGAAAGTAAAAGTAATTGTTAATCAATTTATGAATTATAATTGACGTTAATTACCGATCATTAATAATAATTATGTACTCACACACTCGGCCAACTTCGCTGAGGTTGTCGAAAGCACACGCACCCGTCGTGCCCAAAGTAGCGCAAACCTTCGCGAAGAAACAAAGCACGGTTGAACAAATTCGCTAAAACGTTCTAAACGTCGAAATGTTTTTTATCGTACCGATGACATTTGCACAGAATTGATTTACTCTTATTTAGAATTGTTCGAGTCGAGGAAACGATTTCAAAATCGAATGTGATCGGCGACTTCGTTTATTTAGTTCCGTCGATCCATCGTTGATTGAGACGGGAATCGGTTCGTACGCGTGTACTCGAGGCAAATACCTTGCTTTCGGGGATGTTAGCTTCTTAAGGGTACTACTTTGCTTTGGAAAATGGGGGTTGCGCCCACAGGGACCAACTAGCGTAAAGACAATCCGCCTTGCTACGTCATGTCCGTCTTCTTTTCTATCGTAAGTACTAACAATTCCGGTAGGGTTAATTGGATGGTCGGTATCACTATAATGCGGCACCGATCGTTGGCTTAATGACACTAATTGGAAACGGTCAAATACACCCTTCACGCTCATCTGGCATTTTGTTAAATCTACGGTGCTTCTAGACTGCACGTTTTCTTGGAAAGAAAGTTGAACATCGAAAATGCGACGAGGAAAGAAATCATAAAATAACGTTGATGACTTGCATGCATTTATAACAGTTATTAATACTTTATAGTAATTATAAGTACTTTATAATAATTATTAATACTTTATAGTAATTATAAATACTTTGTAATAATTATTAATACTTTATAGCAATTATCAATGCTTTATAATAATTATTAATACTCTGTAATAATTATTAATACTATATAGTAACTGTCTCTTATACACATCTAGATGTGTATAAGAGACAGGCAATTATCAATGCTTTATAATAATTATTAATACTCTGTAATAATTCTGTCTCTTATACACATCTAGATGTGTATAAGAGACAGGCAATTATCAATGCTTTATAATAATTATTAATACTCTGTAATAATTCTGTCTCTTATACACATCTAGATGTGTATAAGAGACAGGCAATTATCAATGCTTTATAATAATTATTAATACTCTGTAATAATTCTGTCTCTTATACACATCTAGATGTGTATAAGAGACAGGCAATTATCAATGCTTTATAATAATTATTAATACTCTGTAATAATTCTGTCTCTTATACACATCTAGATGTGTATAAGAGACAGGCAATTATCAATGCTTTATAATAATTATTAATACTCTGTAATAATTCTGTCTCTTATACACATCTAGATGTGTATAAGAGACAGGCAATTATCAATGCTTTATAATAATTATTAATACTCTGTAATAATTCTGTCTCTTATACACATCTAGATGTGTATAAGAGACAGGCAATTATCAATGCTTTATAATAATTATTAATACTCTGTAATAATTCTGTCTCTTATACACATCTAGATGTGTATAAGAGACAGGCAATTATCAATGCTTTATAATAATTATTAATACTCTGTAATAATTCTGTCTCTTATACACATCTAGATGTGTATAAGAGACAGGCAATTATCAATGCTTTATAATAATTATTAATACTCTGTAATAATTCTGTCTCTTATACACATCTAGATGTGTATAAGAGACAGGCAATTATCAATGCTTTATAATAATTATTAATACTCTGTAATAATTCTGTCTCTTATACACATCTAGATGTGTATAAGAGACAGGCAATTATCAATGCTTTATAATAATTATTAATACTCTGTAATAATTCTGTCTCTTATACACATCTAGATGTGTATAAGAGACAGGCAATTATCAATGCTTTATAATAATTATTAATACTCTGTAATAATTCTGTCTCTTATACACATCTAGATGTGTATAAGAGACAGGCAATTATCAATGCTTTATAATAATTATTAATACTCTGTAATAATTCTGTCTCTTATACACATCTAGATGTGTATAAGAGACAGGCAATTATCAATGCTTTATAATAATTATTAATACTCTGTAATAATTCTGTCTCTTATACACATCTAGATGTGTATAAGAGACAGGCAATTATCAATGCTTTATAATAATTATTAATACTCTGTAATAATTCTGTCTCTTATACACATCTAGATGTGTATAAGAGACAGGCAATTATCAATGCTTTATAATAATTATTAATACTCTGTAATAATTATTAATACTTTATAGTAATTATTAATGCTTTATAATAATTATTAATACTTTGTAATAATTATATATACTTTATAGTAATTATTAATACTTTGTAATAATTATTAATACTTTATAATAATTATAAATACTCTATAATAATTATTAATACTCACGAAAAATGGGATCAGACCCTCGGATCTGTCACGTGTTACCGCATCGAGCAACGTTTCACCCCTCATGCTAAGTTGATCGTCGGATTCGATGTATCTCATTCGCACCAAACCTATCAGACCAGCCTTTTCAACGCTGGAATGAGCCTATAATGGAATCGAATTGAAAAAGCGATCGAAACGAACAGTTGATTGATACAATTAATTGTAACAGCGACAAGATTTCCAATAAAAATCATGACCATCTTTTAAAAATATTTTTCTTTTAAATTTCATTTAATATAGCAATAAAACTTGTGTTAACATTTTTTAAATATGTCCAAGCTCTTCGACTAAAATATGTTGACTTTTCAACGCAGTTATGTTTGAGATTGCAGCAAGAATTATTTTACTGCCACGACGGTCGGCTGGCAAAGAATTAATTACCATAAAAGGATACCGCGAGAGGAGTCCAGAAAGAAAGACTGTACTAACGACTTCGAGTGTTCTATTTTTTCTTTTTTTAATAGCACGTTCACGGGATGGACGACAGGGAATAATATATCCAGAGAAGAATTCTACGATCATTGGGCTTTCATTAAGTAATGAAAACACGTACTTGGTCGGAGCAGTAGGCGACGAGACATGAATTGATTTCGGCTGCTAAACGGGCCGGCTCGTTTTCATGAACGTCTCTAATGGCTCGGGTTCTTGCTGCGAGTAAGCAAACGAGAGTGGCTTCCGACGCGGTGGTTTGTATCACGCCACCGCCGCCGGATCCTCCTGGACGATGCAAGAATTCCTCTGGCAGGCCGATCATTTTGCCCAGCCAGTTCATTACGATGGTCTCCAGTTCCGTGCACGCGGGACTCGAGGCCTTTTAAAATGTACGCACCGAATTTCGAGGTTTAGCGTCGTGAAAACTCATTTCAAAACGGTGCTAAAGCAATGCGACGAATAGTATTCTATCTGTCGTTTGTTTTGAATATAATTTTTATGATTGTCTAAAATGATCAATAATTTGGAATCGTGTGCAACAATTCATGGCTGCAGGCTATTTGAAGTGCATACAATTAATGTTATGGTTTAAGATAGAAAGAAACCATTTCAAAGAAAGCTATTCTTTCTGTCGTTTATTTTGAAAATCATTTTTATGATCGTCTAAGGTGACCAATAATTTGTAATCGTATACAACAATTTAAATTTGCAAGATGTTCTTGCAAATTTGCAGGATTTTAAGGTTTTATATTTGAAGAGCACGTTTCGAACGGTGGAAAGTAAAGAAGCTATTCTTTCTGTCGTGTATTTTAAAAATCATTTTTATGATTGTCTAAAGTAACCAATAATTTGGAATCGTATAACAACAATTTAAATTTGCATGACGTTCGAAATGCATAGATCGGATTTTAAGGTTTTATATTGAAAGAGCACGTTTCAAACGGTGGAAAGTAAAAAGGCTATTCTTTCTGTAGTGTATTTTTAAAATTATTTTTATGATTGTCTACAGTGACCAATAATTTAGAATGGTGTATAACAATTTTAAATTGCAGGCTGTTTGATATTGATATTGTGGTTTGAGATTGAAAGAAACCATTTCACAAACAGTTCTAAAATAAGAAAATTATTCTATCTGTCATTTATCTTGAAAATCATTCTTATGATTGTCTAAAGTGGCCAATAATTTGGAATCGTATGCAACAATTTAAAATTGCAAGCTGTTTGAACTGCATAGATCGTATTTTAAGATTTTATATTGAAAGAGCACATCTCAAACGGTGAAAAGTAAAAAACCTGTCCTTTCAGTTATTTATTTTTAAAATCATTTTAGGCTCATCCAATCTGCCCGACAATTTGAAACCATTTACACGAACGTCAGCATTCTTGATGAAGAACTAAAGTTCTTACTCTCCGGAGACACTTGTTGAGAACAGTGATGTATATTAAAGTCAGAGGACAAAACACCGAATGTGAACGCGGCAGCTTGTAACTCGAGTAAGTTTCCAGATGCCCCTGCTTACAATATTTATTACCGATTTCCGCTGTATCATTTACAATATACAAGCTATAACTTTTATAATTTCATTTCTGTTTCAAATCTACAAAGTCGTTATTTAACACGGCAATTATAACAGAAACGAGCCGATAAAATACAGAGTAGTGACGCTGCAGAAGGAATTCGATCGTTCGATTACATTAATTAAACGTTATAACTCGTTAAAATTATTCAAGTCAAAAAATAATATATCTATGCAGTTGTCGTTTCTTACAACAAATGCACAGAACTTTTATTTCGCATAAAGATCTGCAGTCTAGTCGCCACCGTAAACGTGTCTCGAGTTTAATTTGCGAGTATTATTTAAATCGGCATTAATTCATAAGCAACAAAGACGTTCTCACCCAGGTAAATCCAAGACAGTTGATCGCGTCGGCCAGCATGTCGGCCAGCAGGCTGGCAGGCGAGTTTAAAGCGGGAAAGTAAGCGTGCATGTGCGGACTTTGCCAGTGAGTCACTCCAGGCATTATGCACTTTTCGATGTCGGCGAAAATGTCTTCCCAGGGCTCGCCGTTCACCGGCGCCGACGACGGCAGCATGTTCCTCAGGTAACCCGGGGAAACGGCTGGATAAACGCGTCGGGATCGGATGTTCTCCAGGTAGTCGGCGATGTAGTCCACCATTTCTTTTCCTGAATCGATTAGAAACTCATTTTACAACTGATTTCGCGAGCATCGAATGCTTGTAATCGTAGCAAACAAGGTTATTATCCTAATTTTACGATACACTAGTAATACACAATGGCGTGTATAATAATTAACAATATAATATAATATAATAATATATAATAATCTAATATAATATAATAATATATAATAATCTAATATAATATAATAATATATAATAATATAATATAATATAATATAATATAATATTATATTATATATAATAATATACAGGGTGTCCCAAAAATGTCTCGCAATCCGACAGTGGTGGATTCCTGAGGTCATTTGAAGCAACTTTTTTCTTTACAAAAATTTTCTCCGAGGCACCGTTAACGAGTTATTAACGAAAAACAGTGACCAATGTGAGGCGAGCTCAGCTGGCGCGAGGCGACCGAGCCAATCAGCGGAACTGGGATTCAACCGCTCGACCGCTGGCGCTATTGGCTCGGCCGCCTCGCGCCAGCTGAGCTCGCCTCTCATTGGTCACTGTTTTTCGTTAATAACTCGTTAACGGTGCCTCGGAGAAAATTTTTGTAAAGGAAGAAGCTGCTTCAAACGATCTAAGGAACCCGATTGCGAGACATTTTTGGGACACCCTGTATAATAATATAATATAACATAATAATACATAATAATATAATAATTAATTAATTACTAATAACAATGGCGTTATCCGCCACTGAATCGTAAAGAAGCAAATATTGTCGTCGATCAGTCTCTAAAGACCAATTTGAAATAAAAGCGTTCTTAGCAACGCTGCGCTTTGTGCTTCGCAAATAGGTCGTGATAAAGTTAAATTCGTAACAAAGTGATCAATTTTTACGAGAACTATGCGGCGTCGAGTAAACAAGAACGAACGTACACGATTTAATATTGCAGGAAAACGTGTCGGAGACGTTCGTCCCTGTTAACTCTGCGCTCAATGGTTTTCGAAAAATCGATCGTTTTATTGCTCGCGCGGAACGAATAATTAAACGATCACACCGCGGGAGAAAATCAAAGCTATCGAGCGACGTGTCAGACGGGACTGTCGGGCAATTATTATGCGGGAAACTTCAATCGAAATTAAAACCGCGCGGACTTGCGGACCGATCCGATAGATAAACCGTCGTCGATTCGTGTATCGAATTGGCAGAAACAACGGCTGTTGACCGACGTCCTGCACAGGAACAATTATTCGACTCCGATGGAGAACGTAAAACCTGTTATCTCGGGTGCTCTTGATTCGTCGGTCTTAAATACTTCGAATGGAACCGCGATCACGAGCAATTGTCCCGTCCCGATCGTTTCGGACGCGACAATGAAATTCGATTCGCGCGATTTAAAACTGCGTTCGAAGACGCGGCGAACGGCTGTTTCGCGCGAACACAAAGATCATTTGCCGAGAAAATTGACGACGGAGACGGACTTCGAAGAGGTTTAAATTCGGTCGGGCTGCCTGTTCTCGCGACGGTTGTCTCACGAAAGCCCTGCGAAAGACAAAGTCGACGGGCCTCGTGTCCCGCGCGAAATTGGATTTAAGGAAAAGGGAGAAAGAATCACGGCCGGGCGTCGTTTCGCCTAGGATTCGAATAGATTTCGATCCTAAAGACGGAATCTAGCGCGCGTCGTATTGGAAACGGTATCGAATCCATAAAACTCCCATAGACTTACTCCCGGTTCGGTGATCCCTCTTTATTGGCGCCATTTTAACGCCCCCCGGAACGATCCCCGCGTACCAACTCCGCTGAAAGATTACAACGTTCGCAAACGTTTACAGGAATCGTAAACATCTGTGGTAATGCTAGACGGAACGCCCGACGATGCCGACGAGACTTTACGGGCATCCGTCTCATTTTGTTTCTCCGTTGCCCGTTGCAAACCGGCGCTGCCGATTGACACAGTTTTACGGAACGTTCGGCGATTTTCGCTCAACAATTGCTGCCCTTTCTGCTCGTCAACTTTACCGTCTGTTGCCTGGCTTCCTGTCGCGGCGCATTTTCAGTCGGAGAATTTGAGAAGGGAAGATAATAATAATAATAATAATAATAATAATAATAATAATAATAATAATAATAATAATAATAATAATAATAATAATAATAATAATAATAATAATAATAATAATAATAATAATAATAATAATATTCGCTTAAGGAAGATGAAGATCATCCCTCTCGTTGGAGAACGATCGCAGTAAATTCTCCCTAATTCGCGCTCAGTGCACAAAAATGGACAATTTGGGAAGAGAAGATTATTCGAGACTTGAGGCTTGTTTTTGTAAGTTGTTTGCCATTCTGTAACTATGAAATCGAGCTGCAAGGTTCGAATATATATAATTTTATAAAATATTTCTATTTACAGAAATGTGACTCCTTTTCCCAAATTGTCTATTTTTTCGTACAATCTGAGCGCCAATTAGGGAGAATTTACTGTGCCAGATGATTCGAATAAGAAATTATTATAAATAATTATGCAAGCACAATTACGTTTACATTCGAGCCTGCAGTGGTTTAATGACAATGTGTGAACACTATGTGATTTGATAAAATACTTCTATTTACAGTAAATTCTCCCTAATTCACCCTCAGATTGTGCACAAAAATGGACAATTTGGGAAGAGGAGATACGATTACTCGAGCCTTGCGGCTCATTTTTATAATTGTTGCCATTTTCTAACCATAAAAACGAGCCGCGAGGCTCGAATAATGGTTTTTTCGTCAATTAGGGAGAATTTATTGTACATCGACCATATTTGTTTGCAAACGAGATTATAATATTTCACGTGCTCGGTGCCTTGCAAAGGACAGGTGTGCATTAACACTAGATTAACGGAACACAAAAAAACAGCTGTTTTATATTAGTTTGTAAAAGTAATAAGTAATACTTTTTACAAGTAAAAGTAATAAGACGTTTATTCTGATTTTTGACAAGTCTTATTGTAACATTTGCCGTAAGTAACATATAAATTGAATGAACAACTCATAAATGTATCTTTACGATATGAATAATCGTAAATTAAAAATTTAGTGACCCGTCATTTTTTACGAGTTCCGTAAATCTAGTTTTAACGCTAAACTTACCGAGCTCTAAAAGCGACGAACAATAATTGCCTCGCAAGAATTACAAGATAGAATTTATTGATATTTTTCGCAATTTTTATAATAGCGTGTGCCCGGATAAAGAAATATATTCAACAATTTCTAACGGAAGCAGCGTTACGACTTCAATAATTATAAAATAAAAAATGTGAAACCGGTCGTTTGACCAGCGGAGGAGGAGGGATTAGTATTAAAATGAAATCATTCTCCAAAAGACGTGTTTTAAAAAATAAAATTACTGCATGGCAACGGTGTGCACAGATTCTCAACGATTTCAAACGAAAAAGGTAGCGCGACGTTGTCTCATAAAACCGATAAATGAGCCGTTTATTTTGAAAGTGGCATAAGTCACTTTACCGTAATAAAAACTGGTAATTTTTTAATGTTTATACGAAATTATTTATACCGAGAAAAATATCAGTATCCTGAGATAACAAATACAAGTAAATCATCTCGAAAGTTAGCATCCATATTTTTAAACGTGTTAAAAAACGCAACCCTTAAATCTATCGACTTAAAAACAAAGTGACTTATGCCACTTTCAAAATAAACGGCTCAAATGTTGTAACAACGATGACTAAGGAATGTAAGTAAGAATATAAGATTTCGCTTACCATGCTTTCGATACTCCTCTAGATTCATATTATCTGCAACGATACAACGTACACATTACATAATTATTCCAGCACCAAGGATGTTGCGGTAAGCCTAATTTGGACACGCGGAGAGTCTCTGAACGAGACGATCTCCTCGAAGAAATCGACGATGCTAAAATCTCAGTCCGCATCCGTTTTCATTCTCGTCTTAACCATAACCGTAACCTTTACCCATAACATCGTAACAAATAAAATTTAACTATAACAGCAATCACTGTCGCAGAAATCATTTTTCATTTCATTCGATCCCGTCCCGTCAGACTTCGTCAGCGTCGTCCCGTTCAGAGATTCCAAATGGCCGCAGAATCACGATGCCGACAAGATTCTACGAATATTCGACGAAATTCGAGGAGCGAAAAATTAAGCGAACGGCTCACTCGCGCCAAAACCAACACTCGATATCGCCTTAGCAGAAGCGCGCAACGATCGCGAGATCGGTACGCGTCGAGGGAACGCGTATCGCGCGCGGTCTCTCGCGAGCACGATCGATCGATCGCCGCGTTAAAAGATCGGCGCCCCTCACCGGCGGCTCTCACAACAACCAGATTTCGAAATTTCGATGGCACCGTATCAGGCGCATGTGGCGACGATTAATTGACCTCGCCGGCGGAAGTTGCAGCTCGCGGTAAGGAAGGCAGGAGTCGCGGAAGTTTCGAGTCGTGGCGACGACGACGACGACGCGACGCAACGCGACGCGATTTCAGCGCGACGACTGAGGGGGACACGCTCCGGCCGGCTGCATGCGTGTTGACCTAGCACCGAACTTCCATGCTAGGACGGCCGCTCGCCAATGATTTGTACGGATTCATCATCGATCGTTCGTCACATGGGCCCCAGAGCTTATTAGGCTAGTGTCACAAGGCTCGCCGCGGCCTAGAACTAGATCGAACGCGTTCGACTGCGGGATTTGACCTTTCTTTCTAGCCTGAGAACTCGTCGCTTCGACGATGCGACCGCCGATTCAGCATCACGGAAATCGTGAAACATTCGAAGCAGTTGGTGAAACGAGAGTTAGTTAGGTCCGGATGCAGCGACTACTTTCTCGATACAGTAATGTCTCCCTAGTTGACGAACAAATTGTGCAGAAAATTTGTTGATCGATGCTCAAACAATCGTATCTCCGCTTCCCAAATTATCCATTTTCGCGTTCACAAGTCGAGGTACAATCGGGTAGAGAATTTACTGTAGTTTGCAAATACAGTAAATAATAATATATATAATAATAATATATAATATAATATATAATATAATAATTATATATAATATATAATATANTCTCAGTCCGCATCCGTTTTCATTCTCGTCTTAACCATAACCGTAACCTTTACCCATAACATCGTAACAAATAAAATTTAACTATAACAGCAATCACTGTCGCAGAAATCATTTTTCATTTCATTCGATCCCGTCCCGTCAGACTTCGTCAGCGTCGTCCCGTTCAGAGATTCCAAATGGCCGCAGAATCACGATGCCGACAAGATTCTACGAATATTCGACGAAATTCGAGGAGCGAAAAATTAAGCGAACGGCTCACTCGCGCCAAAACCAACACTCGATATCGCCTTAGCAGAAGCGCGCAACGATCGCGAGATCGGTACGCGTCGAGGGAACGCGTATCGCGCGCGGTCTCTCGCGAGCACGATCGATCGATCGCCGCGTTAAAAGATCGGCGCCCCTCACCGGCGGCTCTCACAACAACCAGATTTCGAAATTTCGATGGCACCGTATCAGGCGCATGTGGCGACGATTAATTGACCTCGCCGGCGGAAGTTGCAGCTCGCGGTAAGGAAGGCAGGAGTCGCGGAAGTTTCGAGTCGTGGCGACGACGACGACGACGCGACGCAACGCGACGCGATTTCAGCGCGACGACTGAGGGGGACACGCTCCGGCCGGCTGCATGCGTGTTGACCTAGCACCGAACTTCCATGCTAGGACGGCCGCTCGCCAATGATTTGTACGGATTCATCATCGATCGTTCGTCACATGGGCCCCAGAGCTTATTAGGCTAGTGTCACAAGGCTCGCCGCGGCCTAGAACTAGATCGAACGCGTTCGACTGCGGGATTTGACCTTTCTTTCTAGCCTGAGAACTCGTCGCTTCGACGATGCGACCGCCGATTCAGCATCACGGAAATCGTGAAACATTCGAAGCAGTTGGTGAAACGAGAGTTAGTTAGGTCCGGATGCAGCGACTACTTTCTCGATACAGTAATGTCTCCCTAGTTGACGAACAAATTGTGCAGAAAATTTGTTGATCGATGCTCAAACAATCGTATCTCCGCTTCCCAAATTATCCATTTTCGCGTTCACAAGTCGAGGTACAATCGGGTAGAGAATTTACTGTAGTTTGCAAATACAGTAAATAATAATATATATAATAATAATATATAATATAATATATAATATAATAATTATATATAATATATAATATATAATATATAATATATAATATATAATATATAATATATAATATAATAATTATATATAATATATAATATAATATAATATAATAATAATAATATATAATAAAGTCTCCCTAATTGACGTTCAGAGTTTGCATAAAAATGGACGATTTGGGAAGAGGAGATACGATTATTCGAGTGTTGCGCCTCATTTTTATAGTTGTTGAGAATCGGTAATTATAAAAACGAGACGCAAGACTCAAATTAATCGTATCTCCTCTTTCCAAATTATCTATTTCTGTGGACAATCCGAGCGTCAATTAGAGAGACATTACTGCACTCAATTTTCGGCCCGGAACGCGTGAAATCCGCGGTTCGGGTAATTATCCTGCTTCCTCGATTTAATCAATCGTATCGAAGAGTCGCCGATGAACAGGAATTGTTGTATCTCCTCTTCTCAAATTGTCCAGTTTTATGCAAACTCTGAACGTCGATTAGAGAGACTTTACTGTAGTTTGCAAATACAGTAAATTCTCTATCCGACTGTTTCTCAGCTTGTAAACGAAAATGGACAATTTGGGAAGAGGAGATACGAGCCGCGAAGCAAAAAATAATCGAATCTTAATCTACGAAAATTGTCCATCTTTTTACAAACTGAGAGATAATTGCAGAGAATTTAAATAAGATGTCATTAACTCTCGAATTACCGAGAAGTTTATCTAAAAATTTCTTATAAAAACATTTTACAGATCATATTTTACAAAACGTATACAATTTTAAAAGAAAAATCAGTGACCAGTCATTTTGAACGATCTCGTTTTTAAGAAAATTATTCGTTTTATAATAGCCGTTTTTCACGGTAGCGTACTATCCTTGTTCGATCTTAATTTAAAACATTTTTACGTATGTTAAAAAATTGCTGTCACTCGTATGTGACAGTCAGCGTGTTAAACAACCAATGAAACGTCGTGATTTCTCTCTGTCGACAGCGAAAAATCACGAGATAATGGTCGGAAACGGCAACAGATTTGATTGTTTGATTAACTAGGATTCGCGAAGTAATATAGCGAAGGTTTAACAATAGCGAACAATATTAAGAATTCAAAGTAATCGTTTCAACGAACATACTTTCGCTAGTTTTCTGCAACTCCGAGTGACTCCAAGTTTTCCCACAAAGCATTGAAAAACGTGTACAAAGTCAAAATGAACTCGAAGTTGCACCGGAGATGACAGTGATAATATCAGAAAATGCATTGCAAACAGAATGTTCGACCGAGATTTTCGTTATGTTACAAATTTTAGAACCGTATCTCTCGCAACGAACGTCATTGCATAAACAATTCGAACCGAAGCCGACAGTTCGACGTTTCGTGGAAATTACTTTGTGCCCGATCGTTCGGATCGTATCTTTCTCAACACGCGTTATATCTAAACGACGGGACACGCTGTTAAATTTTTACGTGTCTCCGTGTTTCGCCCACGGTCGAAGTTGTACCGGAATTGAACGGAGAACTGAATCCCGTATCGCGTTGCAGGAACGCGAATCCTGTGAGCGAACGTCTGGAATTACAGTAAACAGGGAGTGACTTCTTCCGAGGTATTAATCCTGTTTTCGGAAACAGAGAACCTCACTCGCGGATATCACCGAGCTTCTGCCTTACGTTGGAACGGATCGAAAACTTAAACGATGGGACTGGCCCGCGGAATTAGCGTTTCGGTGCGCTCGCGTCCGGCAACGCGTGCAATCCGAGCAAACGTATGAACAACATCGTGAAACGCTGCTTACAAAAATTAGTGAAAAGGAATTAACGCTGTATAAATTCTAAACGCTATATAGATTCTAAAAAACAGTGCAATTAACGATGATTGGAAAATTATGTTCGATGATTCTTAACTGATTACGCAACCGGGAAACGAATGGTTTTGCACGCGACAGCGAATAAACAATTATCTGCGAACACAGCGATTGAAATCAAAAATTATTGAATAATAACATAATAACATAATAACAGTTTACATGAAAATACCGCGAAGAACGAATAATATTGAAAAAAGACGTCGCTATGGGAGTAGCATTTACTTAAAAAACGAGATCGTTTAAAATCTCTGATCTCTGAATTTTCTTCTAAAATTGTCGATATTATAAAATGTTTAAAATGGAAATTTTTTATACAAACTTCTCGGTGATTCGAGTGTTAATTATGGCATCCGCTACGGGAGTAGCATTTACTTAAAAAAACGAGATCGTTTAAAATCACTGGTCTCTGAATTTTCTTCTAAAATTGTCGATATTATAAAATGTTTCAAATGGAAATTTTTTACACAAACTTCTCGGTGATTCGAGTGTTAATTATGGCATCCGCTACAGGAGTAGCATTTACTTAAAAAAAAACGAGATCGTTTAAAATCACTGATCTCTGAATTTTCCTTTAAAATTGTCGATATTATAAAATGTTTCAAATCGAAATATTTTAGTCGAACTTCTCGGTGATTCGAGTATTAATTATGGCATCCGCTACGGGAGTAGCATTTACTTAAAAAAAACGAGATCGTTCAAAATCACTGGTCTCTGAATTTTCCTTTAAAATTGTCGATATTATAAAATGTTTCAAATCGAAATATTTTAGTCGAACTTCTCGGTGATTCGAGTATTAATTATGGCATCCGCTACGGGAGTAGCATTTACTTAAAAAAAACGAGATCGTTCAAAATCACTGGTCTCTGAATTTTCCTTTAAAATTGTCGATATTATAAAATGTTTCAAATCGAAATATTTTAGTCGAACTTCTCGGTGATTCGAGTATTAATTATGGCATCCGCTACGGGAGTAGCATTTACTTAAAAAAAACGAGATCGTTCAAAATCACTGGTCTCTGAATTTTCCTTTAAAATTGTCGATATTATAAAATGTTTCAAATCGAAATATTTTAGTCGAACTTCTCGGTGATTCGAGTATTAATTATGGCATCCGCTACGGGAGTAGCATTTACTTAAAAAAAACGAGATCGTTCAAAATCACTGGTCTCTGAATTTTCCTTTAAAATTGTCGATATTATAAAATGTTTCAAATCGAAATATTTTAGTCGAACTTCTCGGTGATTCGAGTATTAATTATGGCATCCGCTACGGGAGTAGCATTTACTTAAAAAAAACGAGATCGTTCAAAATCACTGGTCTCTGAATTTTCCTTTAAAATTGTCGATATTATAAAATGTTTCAAATCGAAATATTTTAGTCGAACTTCTCGGTGATTCGAGTATTAATTATGGCATCCGCTACGGGAGTAGCATTTACTTAAAAAAAACGAGATCGTTCAAAATCACTGGTCTCTGAATTTTCCTTTAAAATTG